TCTTTCTTTCTTTCTTTCTTTCTTTCTTTCTTTCTTTCTTTCTTTCTTTCTAGGTTTATTGTTTTTGAGAGACAGGGAGAGATAGAGCACAAACAGGAGAGGGGCAGAGAGAGAGAGATGGAGAAACAGAATCCAAAGTAGGCTCTCGGCTCCGAGCTGTCAGCACAGAGCCCAACGTGGGGCTTGAACTCACAAACCATGATATCATGACCTGAGCTGAAGTTGGACACTTAACCGACTGAGCCACCCGGGCACCCCATTATTGAAAGTTTTCTATGTGCAAAAGGAAAAATAAAATTTCTTACAGGATCCCATTTTAAACACAGTTAACTATCACGTGAAATTTTTTTATTTATATGGGCATCTTGACATACTTACCTATCAGCAACTTTTGACATTTTTAACCGATGTCTATCTAACTGTATTTGCCAATATTTAATCTGAAAAGAATTAAAGAAGTAGTTATGTAAGTAGTGACATTCTCAAAATTTTCAACTCGAAATTCTGATACACTGGGCAATTCTAAATAAGAATATGTTCCAAGGCAGTAAAATTTCCAAGTCTGAAAAATCAAATGAGATGACTCTGAAAATTAAAGTGTTTGAAAAAACATAGTCAATATCCCTTTAGAACAGCAATGAATTTGAACATTCTGCATACTTTGACAAAATATAACTTTATTTTAAAAGCATTATAGAGATTTTAAACATTTATTCAGAGTGAAAAGCCAAATCAGAATCAATCCCCAATATTAAATTCAGAAAATAAATATATTTGTTATTTGTACTATAATTTCTTTTTTTTTTTTTTAATGTTTATTTCTGAGACAGAGCATGAGTGGGGGAGGGGCAGAGAGAGAGGGAGACACAGAATCTGAAGCAGGCTCCAGGCTCCGAGCTGTCAGCACACAGCCCAACGCGGGGCTCGAACTCACGAACTGCGAGATCATGACCTGAGCCGAAGTCGGTCGCTCAACTGACTGAGCCACCCAGGTGCCCCATGTACTATAATTTCAAAGTAAACCCTACTTCCTAATACTAGCCCAAGAAAGCATCAAAGATAGGTGTTTGGGGAATAATTTTACCAACATTTCATAACAAATGTTCACAGGGACATAATCACACATAGAAAACTTCAAAACTCTCCAAATTGCTTTCCATTCATGGTTATTATAAATATACTAGAGAAAGTATCATTACACTATTGCTAAACCAGATCACAATAAAATATCAGGGAAAAGAATAAAAAAGTTATTTTGAACCAAACCAAGAGATTTCACTATTATTTGATATGAGAGACCCTCGTGTTTGCTCTCGAATAGTACTTGGGGACCAAACTATTTATCAATTTGCGAAACAACAAGCGACATATGCCATTACTGCACACCAGTGTTAATTCAGGAAAACTTCAGAGGCTTATGAGGAGCAGGGGGGGAGAAGCAAGAAAAAGCTCTCCGTGAAGATCATGTCACATGATTGGATACAGAAAACACGTGACTCAACGGTCACCAGCTTCTAGTCTTCCGTTCTTCAAGAAGAGCTCCAGAGTACAAAATAACTCTTGAAATGGAGACGCCTAATCATCAGTGTAGGTCATTTTAAAGAATTGGTTAGAGGAAGCAGGATTTGGGGAATTAAAGAGTGAAGAGATGTGAAAAACACCTCTCTATATTGATACATTTTCGAGGGACTACACACCTTAAAATAAGTGATTTCACTAACTTTTAACTGCAAATCTTCGCTATGAAACAGTCAACCCTTCAAATAACCTTTGAGAACCCTTGTCATTAAGATTCACCATGTGGTCTTCATAGCTACTACTCTGTAAACCCTTAACAGATCATTTTTTAGGTAGACCCACCTGTTGTTGTAATTCATCTTCTGTTGGAGGTTTAGTTTCTGGTGTGGGTGTGTGGGTAGGACTGTGACTTCTAATGTCATTTTGTAAACCATAGACAGACTATATTAAAGTAGAAAAGAAATATTTTAGGACAAAATATCATTTATAGCCACAGACTTTCTAAAAGGTAATTTTGTGTTATATATTCAGTAAGGTAACGCAAAGCTTTGTTACATATTTGATTAAGCTTCTCATTAAAATTCAAAGACACTGCTGTCATAAATATCTTATGAATATAAAATAGAAGCCCAGCTCTTTGAAAAAATATGTGGTTAGATTATTAACTGTGACAGAATAATCGATTATATGGAAAGATCACGGTAAGTCTGATAATAAAATTTGGGGATGGACTGAGAGTACTAAGTTGGGAAATAACACTGTATAGCATTTAATAAATATTGATTTCGAAATAAAATAGGGGTGGATATAGAATAGATTAAACACTTTATAAACCAAAAGAAAATGAAAAGAATCTGAGTTTTACAAAATGGGATACTGAAGAGAGAGACTACGTCAACAATTCTGTTGTTGATTTGGTTTCTGCTAGTGTGATCAAGGACACCCCAGAGTGCTCCAAATTTCCCACCTCAGCATTGGGTTATTTACCTCACCACACGGGCCTTGACATTTGGTGCCTTTGGGTGCCTTTTGCAAGCATCGGTGACCGCAAAGTTTTCACCTATCTTTGGAATCCCTGATGCCCCAGTGCTTCTTTAGTATTTTGTCAAAAGGCCAAATCTACTGTTTAGGAATACTCTTTTTTGAGAAAGACCCACTGCTTAGTACGTACGAATAAATATTTAGAGTCTTACAGAGACAAAAAAAAGTCTTCACCTGAAGGCGAGGCATCTCACATACCAACTCAAGGGAGAAGCCAAATAACTTTTTCTTTCATATCAAAGAATTATGACTTTAAAATAAAGGATTTAATATAAGCTACTGAGCACTTTTTGTTTGGACAAGAGGATGAAAGATAAGGACATAATAAAACTGCTCAAGCCCCACAAAATTGAAGTTACCAGATAGGTTTGGAAGAAACTCTTGAAATCAGAAGAGGGTAGATACAGATGTCTAAATGAGCCAATTTCCAGGCCCATCACTAACCATACAAGTATCTCTACATTCTATTGTGTTTTGTTCCTGACCTGTTTTTACTCGGACTCTATCTTTTCTTAATGTTAACCTGTTAGCTCTATACATGGACCTTTGGACTTGGTTTTTCCCTTGTAACTCCTCCTTACTTTGCTCTTAGCCTTTCTTCAATAGATACTCACTTGGATTTAACCTGCCTGAATTATCCAATTTAGACTATCTTTGGTAAATCTTTCAATCTGCCCTCTCTTGACCTAGTGTCAACCTCTTGGAACTTTCTGTCACTTTCTGTCACTGGGCATCCATTTCAACCCAACAAATATGGGTTGTATTCACATATGCCGTGAATTAATTATTAACAGGAGTGAACTGAATGGCTTAATTTTTTCTGTTCTTCCATTCATTCATTCAACATTTATTGAACACCTACTGTATGCTGGAGATAATGCTGAGCACTAGGGATGTAGAAATAAACAAAGATAGGTATGCTTCCTCCTCCATTGGAATTCACAACCTAGCGGAGGGGAAACATGTTACACAAATAACCACACAAATAAACATATGATTAAAACTGTGGTAAGTATCATGAAAGAAAACAAAAACAAGAGCATAGGGCCTGTGTACAGGAGACTTAATTTTCACCGAAGAAACAGAGAAGGCCTATGTGAACTACTAATACTCATATTTGAACTTTGAACTCTGAAGTGACAGTTGAGGTTGATGATTTTTTAAAATTGGGTGAGTAAAAGATCACCAATTATTCAACAATTGTAGAGAATAAATGTAGACATTGTCCAATGTTTATTATTTTTCAGGTGTATTACATTAATTTTTATAAAGAAAATAAAAAGACTCTAAGGTTTAAACATTACATTCTTATTTACCTTAGTTTAATTAAAGTACTTAGTAAGAATCTATAGTTCATATAAAAATGCTTATAAGATAAGATAGCTGACTATTTTAACAGTAAGTTTTTGGGTTAAGATTAAAAACAATTTAAAACACTGCTGGAAAAAATACTACATTTTGTGGTGTCATGGAAGTAAAATGATGTATAAATTATCTTCTGTCTCTCTATTTCTATGATTACTTCAGTATGTATGCACAGCACATAGGTTCAGGAAGGTCCATGGAAGAATCACATCACTGGAAATTGGTGTTTAAAGCTGTCTTCTAGCAGTCTCGCTACTGGCTCTGAGGTTACTGTGGAGTTTCCATTTTTTGTCTTACATGCAGGTAAACATCAAGTGTCCTGTCTTTCATCAGTCAGAGTGCCTTTAATTTTCTGGGGACCCATGATAGCTTTTAACTTTGATGCTTGGTTACAGTGAAAATGGCCACGAATAATGAAGTTTTACATAGAGGGCTTATTTGATGAACAAAGGAGGTAAGGAAATTGATACGAGTTTGGCAGACAGGTTATGAGGATCATCTGACATGTAAAAGGCTTTGAATTTTTTTTAAAGTTAACATGTTAAAATATTGGCCTAGGGTGGGTGGAGTAGACCTAGCAACAGGTAGGAATGGAGAGAAAGGGACATGAAGTTGTCTGAATGTCTCAATGTCTGCAGCTGGGGGTAAAGAAAATTAACTAATTGGGATCCATTTTGAGTTGTTAGCAAAGCTAGTTACTAATCAAGATGCTTTGATGTGATGAACATGTCCACTTATTCCCGGACCAGCTTTCTTCATATAGGGTACCATCCAAATGAATACTGGGTAAGTTATTCATAAAATGAAACAGATCTGATGTTCTACATAAATATGTTCATATATGATTTCCCTTCACGTCTTAGAAGAAAGAGGTCTAAGAAAATTCTCTACTTTTAAAGCAGAAACGAAAGAGTGCAGACAGTTTTTATGCTTGTCTATACTGAGTGAAATCTCTGGGATTTTTCTGACTGGTGGTGGAGGGAGGGGATATTTCTCTTTCTTCTGGATTGCTCAGCTCAGCTAGAAAATGGATTGTGACCACATTTGCTGCCATGTGCAGGAAGCCCTGGCAGAGAGAGGGCAGAGAAGAGAGGGCAGGGTTAGAGAGACCCTGATGAGTCCCTGGGTCCATCACCCCCAGGGCTAACTCTGCCCCTGCTGGCTCCCAAGGCTTTAGAATATTCCCTGCTTGTAGCCACTTTGATCAGAGTGTCTGTTGCCTGCAAGTTTATTGTCCTTCTTACTTAAAACCCTTTTGTGTCACTGTAAGGCATGAGTAGTTTCTTCTGTTAAGATTAAAATGCCACATTATGCATACAGACAGGAGGAAATGCCAGTATTTTTATGTATAAACAGCTGTAGCCACTGCATCAAAAGCGGAAAAACTAGACATTTAATTGTGAATTTGCTAACCGTTCTTCCAGAATGTGCACATTAGCTATTAACTAAAATATGAAGTGCCTCAATGCCTAAATGAAGGTGATAGAAAAAAAAGTAATGAGACAACAAACAGTTTACTGTTGTTTTGAAATATGGGCTCTGGAGTTATAGGAAGTCATCCAAAGTGTGGGTTCAGTCATGTATGCACAAATGCTTTTTTAATTTTCCTCAGGTTTTGTGGTGTTCTAGGACCCGGACCCTTCTAGTTATTGTCGTAGAGAAGGATTCATCCTGTGATACTTAATTTTTTGTGTCAGGTTGGCTGGGCCACAGTGCTCAGATATTTGTTCAAACATTATTCTGGTTGCTTCTTTGAGGATGTATTTTGAGTGAGATTAAAATTTATTTATTTTTTTAAAAAATTTTTTTTAACGTTTATTTATTTTTGAGACAGAGAGACACAGAGCATGAGCGGGGGAGGGTCAGAGAGAGAGGGAGACACAGCATCGGAAACAGGCTCCAGGCTCCGGGCTGTCAGCCCAGAGCCCGACGCGGGGCTCTAACTCACGGACCGCGAGATCGTGACCTGAGCCGAAGTCGGACGCTTAACCGACTGAGCCACCCAGGCGCCCCTTAAAATTTAAATCAGCAGACTTTGAATAAAGCCTATTGCTGTCCGTAATGTGGGTGGGCCTCGTCTAATCAGTTGAAGGCCTGAAAAGAACAAAAAGAACAAAAAGAACGACCTCATCCAGGCAAGAGGAAATTCTGTCAGCAGATGACAATTCTTCCCTGGGACTCTAGCCACTGGCCTACCTCATTAGATTTGGGGCTTGCCAAGCCTCTACAACCGTGTGAGTCAATTTTCTTTTTTTTTTTCTTTCTTTTTTTTTTTTAATTTTTTTTTCAACGTTTATTTATTTTTGGGACAGAGAGAGACAGAGCATGAACGGGGGAGGGGCAGAGAGAGAGGGAGACACAGAATCGGAATCGGAAACAGGCTCCAGGCTCTGAGCCATCAGCCCAGAGCCCGAAGCGGGGCTCGAACTCACGGACCGCGAGATCGTGACCTGGCTGAAGTCGGACGCTTAACCGACTGCGCCACCCAGGCGCCCCATCAATTTTCTAAAATAAATCTTTCTCTATCTCTGTCACTCTCTCCTGCCCCCTTTGGGGAACCCTGACTAATACACAGGCTGGGCTATTATAATTAAAATTTTAGAAGCAGGCTGAAGAAAGCCGGGCACACAGTGCCCCTTAAAATTTGCCTAGATTAGGCAGCCTTCCTTCTGACTATGCTACCTTATCATCCATAGAGACTTACAGGAACACATTGTCACCTACTTCTTTCTATTTTAGTAAAGACAGGTTTAAAAACTGCCTAAATACTTAAACATATCTCAAATAAGATATACATCTAAGCCTTCTCTTCACATATTTGATAGACATATTTGAAATTCAACAATTAAATATAACATTCCAAACCCTGATGTTGTTTAGGTACATGTGATAGATTACTGCTTTAGGGATTTACTGAGTCCCTTATTCTTGTTATATAATCGTGAGAAATATTATCGCAGCTGAATGCCAAATAAATTAACAGCAGCTCTCTCTGCTAAGCTCTCTCTGTTTGCAAAGATTAAATATAATTCAGGGGTTCCACTTTCTTACTAGCAGTGGTTTAAGACAGAGCGTGGTCTCACAGCTAAGGGAATAAAGGACACAGCCCAATTAGCTGTGGAAGACAAAGGCAGTTTCCAGAGGTGACAGATTGGCCTCTGCCATTTGTGTCTAGGGCTTACAATCCCACAGACTTGCCTGCTCCCCAAGGACATAACTGTGAACACTTCAGAGGATAGTGGGATAGTTTGCTGTTTTGCCATTTTTTAAAATAAAATGGTGTGGCAATTGAGAATCCCAAATCATTTAAATTCCCTCGATAACATGTTATGGACTGAGTTGCATCCCTTTGAGATTCATGTTGGAGCCCTAATCCCCAATGTCACTGTATATGGGGATGGAGACTATAAGGAGGTAATCAAAATTAAGGGAGGCCATTGGGTAAGACCCTAATCCCATGGAGCTGCTGTCCTGATAAAAGGGACAGACACCATAGCTCTCTGCCATGTGAGGACAGAGCAAGAAGACAGCTGTGTATAAGCCAGGAAGAGAGCTCTCACCAAAATCCAACTTAATCTGGGACTTCTAGTCTCCAGAACTCTGAGTAAATAAATTCCCATTATGTAAGCCATTTGGAGCATTTTGTTATGGTAGCTTGAGCAGACTAATATATACCACTCAACACAATTATGTGGCTATATATGTATAGACATTTGTCTGCTTGCTCAAGGTATACACTGTCATTAGATCATGAGCTATGAGCACAAGGTCATGTCTGTCCCATTGATCATCTAAACACCAGTCAAAGCCTAGCATAGAGACCTGTTAAATCTACTGATTGCATGGCTCATTCCAGTTACTAACCAAATATGAGCTAAAGTAGCAGTGGTCATAATTCTAAAAAAGAAACCAGTATGTGGCTTAGAGTCCTATAACCTTCTATGTAAAATGACACTTGTGAAGATTCTAGAAAATTCAACATGTTTGAATATGAGAAGCTATATATATCTCCAATTGTTGAAAACAAGGGCATGCATGAAAACAAGGGCAAAACTGTCTTTGTTCTCTGGTAATTTTCGAGTTAGGGAGCTCTGCTTTAGGCCCTGTGGTTCTACCATTATTGATTTACAGGAAACTCTACCACAACCAAGACAAATAGAGCTTAGTAGTTCCATCTCGACAGCATTTCACCTTGCCAGGCCTGGTGTTTTGCCATTGTTAAGTGAAGCACAGCAATGCCAAGTAATGCTTTTCAAGCGATCAGAAAGCACGATGCCATGTGAAACACTGTTAAAATAACAATACCGGATGGCGTTAAGAAGACAGTGTAAATGATGGCTCTCTTATCTTTAAGTCCTATCTGCCCATCCATATGCTTTCTCTTTCCGAGTCAGAGCATATCTCAGTTGGTGTCTGTTGGGAAAACTTGACACAAAGTAAGGTATCATGAAAAGTAATTCTTCAAAATTCAGAAGTAGTGATAGGTGGCTAAATGTGCTTTTGGAGAGCTGATTGCAGCTCTGGATGCTGTTCCACAGCACAAAGCCAGTCCCTAGTGCCCTCAGGCTGTGCTGTGTGCAGAGGATGGAAGGAACTGCATGAGGCCAGTCACAGGAGAGCAGGGCCAACAGGCCTGCTTTGGTCTGGCTTTGCCTCTTTCTCTCAGAGAGCCCCTGGGAGCCACAGCTTTGGAGCACTGCATCTGAGCAGGTTTTGTGGCACTCTTCCCTTGGCTTCTTTATCTTGACATCAAGGTAAACTGCCTTAAAAGAAATAAAAAAGGACTTGGATCACACTGGGGCCTCTGAACATGATATTTCTAGGGATAGAGGAAAAAGACCACAAGAAATACGACTAAAAAAAAAAGTGTTTAGTGCCTATAGCAGGGACATACACCCTGGAAAGCCCTAATGCTACATAAGGAAACAGCCATAAAAGGGAAGGTCTTAAACTTCCGGGATGCTTTAATTCATTGGTGCCAGTCATGGGCTATGTCCTCAAGCCAGAAATTCTGATATGCATCAAGTGTTCTTCACGAAATGAATAAAAATGCCTTCTGTGTGCCTGTGTTACTTAAATAAATATGTAGGTACTATTGCTATGTATTTTCAAGAGATTATTTACAATGCCACTGAATTCTGGATAGGTTTCTTTTTGTTTGTTTGTGATGTATTCTCTCATGTAACAGATACCAAATGAACAAACAACCACTCTCTTACGGTTGTGTCACAAAATTCTGGTGTTAAAAGGGGGTCCTCATGCAAACTCTGCAGTCCTGCATCTTTATGATGTCTCTTTTCCTTCAGAATTTTCTCTGAAAATGCCCTTCTCTCATCAACATCACTTTTTCCAAGATAATCTCCATCTGTGTTTCCTCATCCTCCGGGTCCTGAAAGAGAAGCTTTCTCTGTTGATGACCCTTCTTTCCAATAGAGAGAGGAGGTATCCTTGGCATCTCTGCCCCATCAGGGACACTTGCACGCCTTGGGACCTGTGCATGCTGGAAAACCACATGCTGGAGAACCGTGATGGTTCTACTTGGTCAGGAGAGATGGACTGACGGAAGACCAGGGTGTGAGCTCCCAGATTTCCTTCCAGCCAAGGAACAAGGAAGAGCAGGGAAGATGCTAGAATATATTCCAGGAAGTGGGAGAAAATTTTTTATGACTGGCATCCTCCTATGGCGTCCTCCTATGGTGTGCTACTTATTACCAAGATCAGCACAGCAAAGGTGGGTTTTACCTTCCGTGTTTTATGTGGGTTTCTCATTCTGGATGACTTCTTAATGTCCACTTCAGTGGTATTTACACATCCAGGCTGGAAATGGAAAAACAGAGAGACAAAGGAATCTTTGGGGATGAGGTTTTGATTCATGCATTAATGACTTGCCATCCACAACCTGAACAAAAGCTGTGATGACACAGGTCTCTGGAAGTTCTTTCTAAATGGCCACAGCCACCCATCAATGGAGCTAGTAAAAAAATATAGTACACTCTCACTCCTTGCACATAAAGGACTTCAGATACCATTCTTGAATATATTCCAGAGAAACAGGGACAAGAAATGCACAGACTCTGCCTTTGAAAGTGGGTATTGACATTAGTAGGGGCTAATCCAACAGACTGGGAGCAAGGGTGTCCAGAGACCAAGCGGCTGATGGCCCAGCTGGTACCTACAGACAGCCCTGCTCAGAGTACTCCTCTATGTGAGGTGACACTGTTATCACGTGGCTGTTTGCTTCCCAAGTTGGAAAACTATAATTAGTTGACCCAGCTCAAATCGCAGGTGAATTTTTTTTGCAATGATTCGTGAAATCGGGGGACTAGGAATATTTGTTTTCCATACACAGAATAGGATTGTGGTCAGCCTGTTACTGGTTCTCTGAAAATCTCAGGAGCATCATTTTGCCAGACTTGCTGTTCTGTTGCACAGAAACAGAGAACTGTAAACCTTCTTTTGTATTTGGAGGAGGAGAGGGGTTGAGGGAGGGAGTAAGAAAAGAGGGAGAGGATGGGGCTGAGGAGGAAGGAGAGGGAGAAAAGGAAGGGGGGAGGGAGAGGGAAGGGAGAGGTAGTGGGAGGAAAAAGAGAAAAAAGGAGATTCAAGAATACAGGGGACCTTATATCTGGAAAGGTCCTTAGATATCACTTAGTCTTTAGAAGTGATTGGAAGGAAACATTTTTGTGGGTTGTGTTTCCCTAACTTTCAAGTTTTGGTACCAGATATAGGGATCTCTGGTACTAGTCTAAGAAGTATCATGTTGTATAACTCTGTGCAGTTTCTCTGTTTTTTTCCCACAGAATGTAAGATCGTTAAACATGCGATATACTTGAAAGTGATTACAGAGAAACTATGAATGTGGAAAAAGACTTTTGCACAGTTGGGATGTTACGGGAGGAGGCGGGGCAAAAAGGCAGCAGTGATGTGATTCTGGAAATAAGCTGTTCTCCACACTCACTGTCAGGCAAGGGGCTTCACTTTTGGTTTAATGAAGACTTGCATGCAGGAATTTCCTTGAAGAACCCTCTCCTGATAGCACAGCCATTGGGAAGAAGCTCCACCATAATAGTGTAAAGGATAAAAAAGTAAGTAAAGAAAGCCCTTTTTCTTGATTTTTTTCTACATAGGTTGCATGTGAAAAATATATACTACAGACACACAAATACACACATGCATGTGCATGCACACACACACACTGCACTAAAAATGAATAAATCACAAATTTGGTTTGCATATCTATATATGCAAACCATATATATAAACCATGATCTGCTTGGCAGTAAGGAGGAAAAACACCCACATGGGTGGGATGTAGTTACTAATTGACACTGAGTAACTCACTTTAGCTACCTCACCATACGGATCAATGTCTGATACTCTGATTTAATTTTTCTGTGGCTACTAGCAGCATAAGTATTTTTCAAGAGACCCCAGTGAGTTTGATATGCAGCCAGAATTCACAACCACTGATAACAAAGATAACAAATATAATGGTAAAACTATTAAAGTAATATTAAAGTGTTTTCATTTCCTATTCAGTTTCCATTTCCTTGCAGCCTTCCATCCGTAAGGCTCGGTCCATTAGGAAGACAAGGCACTGAAATTCTTTATGCTCTTATTGATTCATGGCAAGACAGATCATAGAAATCTTCTTCTATATGTTAAAGGGTGGGAATAGTAAGGGCATGCCCTTCCATGACCTGGAGAAAGACAGACCATTTATTATTTATTTAATAAATATTTATTTCTGATATTGTGATAAATTTTGTGATAAGTAGTGACATACAAGGACAAAGGGATGATCTTCTAATATAGTAAGCATGATAAGTATGTGAATCATCACACTGTAGGAGCACAGGACTGGAGAGAAGTTTGGCCAAGGCATTATGCAACAGAACATTTCATATATCCATTGTTATGTACATCCTCTTGGCTCTCACCAACATGGCTGAAATATATTTATTTATCGTTTGAGCAAATTTGATCCCAATAAGACCATGCTGTCTTCGGTTATTTAATTTCTTTCTTTTAGTTTTAGAGAGAGACAGAGTGCAAGTGGAGGAGAGGGCCAGAGGGGGAGAGAGAGAGAGAGAGAGAGAGAGAGAGAGAGAGAGAGAGAGAGAAACGAGAATCCCAAGCATGGTGCCCGATGAGGGGCTCAATCCCATGACTCTGGGATCAGGACCTGAGCCAAAACAGGAGTCAGATGCTCAAATGACTGAGCCACCTAGGTGCCCATCTTTGGTTATTTTAATATATAAAATGTACCACTAGCTGGCACCAGATCCACATGAAATGTTATGGCTAAATTGGTTTTCTGCACTACTAAGCATAGCTTCCCAATAAAATACAAATAACATCACCATTACCAAGTAAGCACTCAATAAAAATGTTCAAACATGTACTCCTGGCCAGATATAATATTAAATTCATAGTATTGTTCAATTTAAGGAATAATGAAATAATATTTACACTGACCTAAAAAGAGTCATAAATTATTTCTAGTGATTCAAAGATAAATTTATTTTCAATAGAATTAAGCTGTGTTGTGACATTACTGTAACACTATTTATTAAAAAGTAAAATTGAATTCCTTAGAATCCATTCCTGAAGGAGGAAAAGGATCATATTATTGAGAAATATTACTGCCATAGTGTACACGTAAGTGTCTCAATGAGTTGCAAAACAGAGATGAAATTTTGGTTTCATCATTGATGAAACCATCATTTTACTTAAAACAATCTGAATATCATTTAGTTCCTGTCATGCAAAATGACATTATTGTAGCAGAAGGCACACTCTGCTCAGGATAACTGGGGAAACTTAAGGACTCTTCAGTGAAGAGAGTAATGGAGAACCACTTTCTTTAATTCAGTCCCAGTAGCTGAAGTGAAATTTTCTGAAGTGATTAAAACAATGTCCTAAATGACAAATAAATGGAGAGTTAAGAATAAGGTGGCAAATAGAACTGATAATATCCATATTCCTGGAAATTAAAAAAAAAAAAAGACATGATTCTGGGAAAATCAAGACTTTGAATGTTGAAATATTTGTCTTTTTGTAACACAGTACAAGGTTTAAAAGTTCAATTTGCAATGTATTTTACCTCAATGAAAAGGATTCTCTCCTTATCCTCATAAAACGTGGTTATAGATTTTAGAGTGATCAATCTCAGAATACTTTTTTAAACATTCAATTGAAGCTTTTATTTCTGTTCTGTTCTGTTTAGTAAGGCCAACAGGGCTTACTAAATGCTACACACAAAGGAAGTTGTTTAAGGTAACTACACTGGAATTCCTTTCATTCACCCTTTCATTCATCTGATTACTACTTAATCTTATTTGCTGGACACAGATTCTGGATTATGTAATCCTGCTTCAGTGTAGGCTATGAACAAATTCTGAGAGTCAACAGACAGAAGGAAGGCTCCTGCATCAGAGGGGAGGGAAATGTACCAAGATGCTTGGAGCCGTGGAAAGTGGTCGGGTCAGGTAGAAATTATAGCCCACAGTAAGGACTTTGATTTAAGTCTAAACATAAGGGGATGTCATAAGGGAAGTGACTTAATATGATTTATATTTTTAAAACCTCAATCTCTGTAGGGCACCTGGGTGTCTCTGTCAGTTGGGCGTCTAACTTCGGCTCAGGTCATGATCTCACAGTTCATGAGTTTGAGCCCTGAGTCGGGCTCTGGGTTGACAGCTCAGAGACTGGAGCCTGCTTTGGATTCTGCGTCTCCCTCTCTCTCTCTGACCCTCCCTGGCTCACACTCTGTCTTTCTCTCAAAAATAAATAAACATTAAAAAAATTAAAAAAATAATCTCTGAGCCTGGAGCCTGCTTCAGATTCTGTTTCCCTCTCTCTCCGCCCCTCCCCTGCTCACTCTCTGTCTCTCTCTGCCTCTCAAAAAAAAAAAAAAAGTATATATATATACACATATATACATATATATTTATATGTGTTTATATATTATATATATAAATTATATATATTCATATATATAACATATATTATATATAACATATTATATATTATGTATATATAATATATAATATAAACTCACTATGGTTTCACAAAAAATTAACTCAAGATGGATCATAAACCTTAATGTGAAATGCTAAACTATACCCCCCCCCCCCCCCCAGGAAGAGAGTATAGGAGAAAATCTAGGTGATCCTGAGTTTGGTGATGACTTTTTAAACATGACACTAAAAGCACCATACATTAGAGAAATCAATGATACATTGGACTTCATTAAAATTAAAAACTTATGCTCTGTGAAAGACAAGCCAGATTGGGGAAAAAAAACCCACAACACTTGCAAATGGTACATCTGATGAAGGACTGTTATCCCAAATATACAAAGAACTCTTAAAACTCAACAATAAGAAAAAAAACCTCAACAATAAGAAAATGAACAACTTAATTTAAAGGTGGGTAAAAGTATCCACATATGAGTGAAGACATATGGTATCTGTCTTTCTCTGCCTGACTTATTTCACTTAGCATAACCCTCTCCAGTTCCATCCACATTGCTACAAATGGCCAGATTTCATTCTTTTTCATTGCCAAGTAGTATTCCATTGTATATATAAAACACATCTTCTTTATCCACTCGTCATTTGATGGACATTTAGGCTCTTTCCATAGTTTCGCTATTGTTGAAAGTGCTACTATAAACATTGGGGTACAGGTGCCCCTATGCATCAGCACTCCTGCATCCCTTGGGTAAATTCCTAGCAGTGCTATTGCTGGGTCATGGGGTAGGTCTATTTTTAATTTTCTGAGGAACCTCCACACTATTTTCCAGAGTGGCC